GCACTAGTCGCGGCTCTGCAACAATGGGAAGCCCCTGTGAAGGTCAGGGGTCCACAGTGCCCCTGACCGTCACGTTTGCTGAACAGGGACAGGGACGGGATCTCGAATGCCAGGAGCCTCTTGCACAGGGACAGGGGCGGCATCTCGAATGTCAGGAGCCTCTTGCGCTGATCGGACTCTCTGTCAATGGGAGTAGATATAAAAACTGATGATGAGAGTCCACGATGGGACAATGAAATGATCATGTGTGCGTCGGGGGCCCCAATACCGAATGGGAGGCTCTCCAGCCCGTTTCACCCAAGCCGAACTGCTAATATACATATACAATTAGGCTAATATACAAATGCACAGTGCTCTGTTAAGCCGAACTGGTGTCTCTGTGTCAATTATTAGAGCAATTGCAGCGATAAGGGGTCTTGACGTGTGAACGAGCGCTCCTGTATCGATCCGCAGTCAGCTGCCCGAGACAGAGAGCTCGTCGCGTCAGGGAGGGGATATGATGTAGCCCCGTCAGGGCCTCTGGATCGATCAGGAGACAAGGCCTCTGTGTCATCAGAATGGCGTCCAGTGAGTACCTCGCGCTGGGACGGAATGGATGCGTATTGAAACGTCCAGAGCTCATAACGTTCATAGGTCAAAACGTCCAGAGTCACAGCATCCAGCGGTCACAACACCCAGAAGCCATGTAATACCAATAGAAAGAGGAGAACCGGAAAGTCAAAGCGCGCAGCGTCCAAGACCCGCAGCATCCAGGGTTTAAAACGTCCAGCGTTTATGCAGCGCACCGCACGAGACTCACGGTTGGGATACTTTCCCAATTCCTCGCAACCCTAACCTAATGGTTCGGATATTACACAATAGGGGGCTACCGTAGGCGATTTCGCCCGTGTCAGCCGACGATTGACGGCATGCAGTACGGTGTCGCCCAGTTTAACCACTGTATGTGAATATGGGCAACGTTTTGTTTGAGCACACAAACTTTGCCGCGTCAGCACGCCCTTGGCAGCACGCGCATTAATAATTTAAAACTTTGATCCCTGACTAGTGGCATCGGAAATAGCGGGTCGCTCGGCAGTAACTGCACGGCATTCGTGGAAACACTTGTCGGTGCACCTGCTGTTTGGTATTGCAGGCTATCGATAAAGTTAACCGCGGTATTTGGGTCCGTTATTTACCGCATGTTTTGGTGATGTTTCGCAACTCATTTTTGAATGAATTGATGACTGATTTGTAAGGATGACTGATCTGATGACTGCTCCAGGTAAGTGCGCATGTAGATCTCCAGCTCCTGGCACGCTAACCTATATAATAAGTGCCACACACTCAATAGTCAATGGAAATGACTTATACGACGCCAGCGGCATGTAAAATCACGTCCGGCAATTGCGCGTAAAAATTCATCGGCGCATATTCGATTACTGCTCTAAGGCGAAGGCACCAAGGGCAATTGGGACGAAACCTGAGCGACCATGGGTGCTACAGGAGGCCAACAAAGCGGCTCCCGTCAACAAGTATAGGTTCCTCAGAGCAAGCAAAAAAAAAACCAAGACTAACGTGGTGGGCCCCTAAGCGATCGGTAGTGCCCCGGCAGGCTGACATATGCTGCCCCACCGGCAGCACAAGGCCCTCTGAGCAAAGAGCCCTGTGCGATCACGAGTGTACCAGTACGTTAACAGAATAAGCCTCGCTAGGACTGAACAGTCCTCCGCAAATGATACCTGAGGGAAAGATTCTTCGCTTAAGGTAGAGGGCCCCTGAACATCGAGTATCTCGGTGCCTTACCTTATAAGGGCCCCAGTAACAGCACAAGGCCGTCCAAGTAAGTGGAAAGAACCGCAGACCAACACGAAGGGCCCTGAGCAGCTGAGTGTACCCTGGCATATGGGGCCCTAGAAAGGCGTATAGAGCCTTTCGGGCTTATGGGAAAAGCTTGTGGAGAAAAACCTGATCGATCCAAGAGTGCCCAGACATGGAAGCAGATAGTGTCCTAACAGCAGCCCTGGGCCCTACGAGGAAATGCGAAGAGACAAAGGCAACATGAAAAGCTCCTTAGCGATCAGGTTGACCCGGTAAGTGGCCACATAGGGCCCGGGCAGCAGTGGTGGGCCTCTGGACAGCGCGATAAACCCCAAAATCCCCCCCCCCCAAGCAACACCTTTTCAGTCAGGAAAAAGTTAATTTCGTCTGCTCATGAACTCTTTACTCTTGCTATCAATTGTTCTCGATCGTCTGTAGGTCCACCAGTATCCAATTTTGTTGTAAGAAAACTGAGTCTTTTCGGTCGGTTATGGGCCCCTTCGGAGCCTTAAGGTCCTTCCGGCATGGTCCATGGGGACATGGTCCCGTGCTCCCCCCCCCCCCCTTGCATCCGCCACCGGCCCGAGCAGCTTAATAGATAGGGCCTTCCAAGAACATAGGACCATCCATTGACATAAGAAATACTTACGACAAAATATGTAAAGCTCCCAGCGATCGAGCTTGCCCGAGCAGGTTAAAATATAGGGTCCCCGCCAAGAGCGTAGGGCCCTCCACTTAAATAGGAAGTACCCAATATCGAGCGTAGAGAGCCCCCGAATGATCGCGCGTGCCAGAGCAGGTTAACAGATAGGGTTCTCAACACGAGCGTAAAGTCCTCCATTCAAACGGGAAGCACCCAAGACCCTATGTAAATGACCCTTTGAACGATGGAATGTGCCCGAGTAGCTTATCAGAAGGGGCTAAACAAGAGCGTGGGGTCCTCCATTTGAATGAGAACCAAAACCTAGTGCGGAGGGCCCCCGAAAGATGGAGGGTAGCCGAGCAGATTATCAGATATCCCCGACAGGAGTGTAGGGCTCTAAATTCAAACACCAATGCCCGATATACAGGGCCCCCGAACAATTCAGTGTAGCCGAGGAGGCAAACAGAGGGGGCCCCCGACAAGTGCGCACGGCCCTCCATTCAGATAGGAAGTACCCAAGACACAACGTGGAGGGCTCCCGGGTATTCGAGCGTGCCCGAGCAGATTAACAGATGGGGCCTCGGCAAGAGCGTAGGGCCTTCCATTCAGATATGAAATACCCACGACACGATGTCGAGGACCCCGAATAATCGAGTGCGCTAGAGCAGGTTGACAGATAGGGCCCCTGAAAAGAGCGCAGGGCCCTTCATTCGAAAGGGAAGTACCCAAAACCACATGTACAGTTCCCCCACCATCGGATGGGCTCGAACATCTGATCAGAAGGGGCCCCGACAGGAGCGTAATGTCTTCCATTTAAATAAGAAGTACCCAAAAGCCGGTGCGGAAGGTCACCGAAAGATGGAGTGTACCCGAACAGGTTATCAGATGACCCCGATAGAAGCAGAGGGCCCTAAATTAAAACATCAGGTACCAGTGTGCAGGGCCCCCCAGGCCATCCAGCGTGCCCGAGGGGGCGAACAGGGGGGCCCCGATAAGTGCGTACTGCCTATTCATATAGCACGTGCCCAAGGCCCAATGTAGAGGGACCCCGAACGATCGAACGTGTCCGAGCAGGTTACCAGATAGGCCTCCCCACAAGAGCGTAGCGCCCCCATTCAGAAAAGAAGCACCCAAGACCCAGTGTGGGGGGTCCCCGAGCGACTGAGTGTGCCCAAGCAGGCCGTCAGATGGACTCCCGACAGGACAGTGTAGGGCCCTGAGCAAGTGACAGAGAATTGGAAATGCCCTAGAACAATGTAGAAGGCCCATGAGCATATCGCATGCGTGTCGGTAGGCTTACCAAGACCCACGTAAAGGGCCCCTGGGCAACAGAGAACACCCGGGAGGTTAAGATGTGGGACCCCGGCTAAAGCTCACAGAGCCTTTCTGGCGAATGGAAAGAATTCCTGGAAGGGCTCGTGATTTACATGAGTGCCCCGACATTTTAACAGGAAGGGCCCCAACAACAGTGCAGGGCCTTCTGAGCAATTGCAAAGAAATGAAGGGCAACGTGGAATGCTCCTTAACGATCAAATTGATCCTGCAAGTGGGCACATAGATCCCCCACAAACAGCATTGGCACCTAGGCAGGGGAAATGGGGCTTACAATTTCCAGGTCACAACTCTTCCAATCATTGAATAATTTTTTGAACTTCTCATAGGCCCTTCACTTTTCCTTACAACTATTTTTGATCGCCTGGAAGTTCAGGGATAACCAGTTTTGTTGCGTCGTGTGCTAAAAAACTCCACCTGTTCGGCCGGCCATGGCCCCCTCGGAGCCAGGGGGGGGGGGCAAGGGGGGCCATGACCCCGTGTCCCCTCCCTTTGGATCCGCCACTGACGATACCTTCATGTCTGAACCACATTACCGATATTTTTATGAGACACCAAATTGCAGGGCACCCGACGTTCGTGCCATGCGCTTGACGAAACCCCGCGCCGGTCCATCTGGCGAGGGGAGCACCAAATCTTTCATTTCGGTGCAACATAACCTTTATTTTCAAGGACTCAGTGCCAGAGAGCACCAGAAAGGGCCTTGACCCTTTGTTCTGAAAGAGCCATGAATTCCAGGGGCATAAGTATGTTGAGCTTTCCGCCCCGGTAAGATCCTGGATCGGACTCCTGGGCGAGGAGTCACAAAATCCCTCCCTGCGGGGCGACATCATCTTGATTTTCAAGGGGTCCTAAATCAAAGCGGATTATTCTCAAAGCTCAAAACCATAATTTTAAAAGAGCACCAAAGTTCAGCCGCATCGCAATTGGCGTGCCTTTCCCTCTGGAAAAATTCTGAATCGGACCGTTCAGGGAAGGGGCACCCTATCCAAGAAAAAGGCACCAACGGCCCTCGTTGAGAATGCCCCTCCCCCCCACGCTAACCAAGTAGTCGACCGGAGCGCGGAGCCAAGCCGGATCACGTGACTGCGACCAGCGGTCAGGCAGTGGCGTCACCATACCCACAAAACCGGCGGACGGCGAACAGGTGCCGGCCTAACCACAGAAACTGCGACCGGTTTGCCTCGGTAACGCGTACCAAATATGTCTAGCTGTAATATCATCCGCCGAACGGCCACCGCCGCTGACCCCACCGTACCACGTAACAGTGAACACCGTGCCCGTCCCGATGGCACAGCAGCCCCGCTCGTCGACGTCACGTGATCAGCGCCATCGGAGGAGCAATCAGCACCATCGCGCACCGCCTCATCCGCGTCATTCCGTCATTTATTCCACTTATCATAACCACCCGCGCCACCCCGGCGGCTGGATTCCCTGTGTGCTCAGTGAACCGGTGTACGGTATCCATCAATTCATTGCCGCGGATACCTCTTAACGGCTGAAAAGTCACTGTTTTCGAGCAGTTATCTCCGGCTAGTACTAGTTACGTAAAACCCTCACAGTAGTCGGAATATGTGACAGGTGCGACGCATTACCTTTTTTTTACAAAGCCCTGACCGGAACCGGCTCGTCGCCGGATCACTAGGACGCTATTTTCCACCACCCAGACATATAACTCAAAATAGTATATTCGGGGCCTACGAAGAAAGAATCGAGCAAGCACGCTCAATTCCAGCACAAAAAAATAAATAAAGCGAACAGCTCACCGATAAAAAATCGAAGGTACAGCACCGATCACTACCGCTGAAGCCCCCGTAACGATATCGTGCGTGATAAGCATAATACATAATGACGCGCATGGTAAGCATCATATGGCACATTGACTTAAATTAAATCACCGGGAGCATCATACGCATCCAAGCCAGTCCGAATATGCTTGACCGCCCAATCCTCCTCCACTCGACACATACGCGAGAACGCGCGGGCGCTATGTAACAGCGCAGTTGAAGTGCCCGATCGCCCCAATTACCACTACCTGACCACGCAAGAAAAGTTCCCACACAGAATTGCTACATACCCGCGTTCGAAGTTCAAGCAATTAAAAATCACATCCAATTGAACGCACCGTTCAAAAAGACTCGTACAATGCACGTAATCGACGATTCATTGATAGGCCACACGAGGGTAAATACGCCCGTGAAGCCCGTTGCACACACAGCCCGCGGACCAGGAACACGAAGGCACACACGGAATGAGGCACCGCATCATCACAGTTCGGACACCGGGTCCTCTTGGAGATCGCACGGGCGCCACACCGTCAGTGGAGGGGCCACGGTGAGCTGGGTCAGCCCTCCACGGCGCACCACCAGCGATCCCCGGCGCCCACGCCGCACCAGCCGCGCCCACAGGCGGACGGCCGGCATCGGCGAGGGCGCGGCCCGCAGCGCCGCCTGTGCCGGCCAGGGACAATGACTCGACGACGTCGCCAGTACACAGCCAGCTCCCCGGTCAAGGTTGCAGTCGCGCGGCACCGCAATCACTGGGCCTCCCTCTCTGCGGGCCGACGGCCACTATTCGAACACAGGGCGCCCGAACACAGGCGTTCACGCTGAAGCGCCCAGGCATGACTCGATCCCAGCTGACGAGATGACTCGATCCAACCGGACAGGACTACCCGATTTAAACGGACAAGGGAAATCCAAACACTAAACTCGACCCCAAGGAACAACGCCTCAGTCATACGGTATCACGTGCGTCAAAGCACGCCACATGCATTGGCTGAACGCCAAAACGGCCAGGTACGCTAGTGAATAAAGGAATACCGTCACAGTTTGTACAAACGACTACACTGACCGTCACCTGTCTTCAACGGGCACCGAACTGGCAAATTCTTGAAGGACAAATTGTTCACTACCGTCCTCGCCTGGAGGCAGGAGTGCACCACGAGTGAGAGGGGGGGGGGGGGGAGAGGAGGGAGGTGATGGAGCGTTACCGAAACGCAGCAGGCGGGGGATGTGGACGGCGTAATGTTGCACTCGGGCGTGTACACTCGCCCACTTCATGGGCGTGGTTGCAAGTCGTGCCAGTCTTTGAACACGAGTTTAAATAGTAAGTCCAGTAATGTTAGCTCCCTCTTCTGACAGCCAAACATTATTCAGTCCTTATCAGGACCGGAGAACACCTTACGACGCCCGAAACGTTGTGAACGTACCAATGCACCACACGAGGACGACGGGAATAACTATCACATAGGCAACAACCGGGCTCAACCATTCCGTGAAACTGCTGAATTCCTGAACCACTTTGGATACAAAATTACTTGTACAAGGTTCGCGAGCACTAGCAACCGGAGTCAATAATCATGCGCGCACGATGTGACAACCACTATCCACGCTTTGTACACACTTTATACTATGGCATATACAAGTTTCTCATGCTTTGAACTTCAGACAAAAGTAGTGGCAATGTGATGCAATGTTATCAAAATTAAAACCGGACAAAAGTAGTTACAATTATGTCATGGAAATTAAAACAAACACTCCTCAGCCATGAAGAGCATTGGTAACATGCAGATTTCTCCACACTACCAGTGCGGTCTCCCGACCCTCACGACGCTCTTGGCGGGACCAGTCCAGCAGCTCTTAGCAGGGCCGGTCCAGCCGCTCTTGACTGGGCCGGTCCAGCCCCTCTCGGCGGGGCCGGTCCAACCGCTCTTAGCGGGGCCAGTTCAGCCGCTCTCGGCGGGGCCGGTCCAGCCCCTCTCGGCGGGGCCAGTTCAGCCCCTCTCGGCGGGGCCGGTCCAACCGCTCTTAGCGGGGCCGGTCCAGCCGCTCTTAGCGGGGCCAGTTCAGCCCCTCTCGGCGGGGCCGGTCCAACCGCTCTCGGCGGGGCCGGTCCAGCCGCTCTTAGCGGGGCCAGTTCAGCCGCTCTCGGCGGGGCCGGTCCAGCCGCTCTTAGCGGGGCCAGTTCAGCCGCTCTCGGCGGGGCCGGTCTGGCCTCTCTCGGCGGGGCGACGCTCTCGATGGGCCGCTCTCGGCGGGGCCGGTACGGCCGCTTGAGCTGGCTCTTTGCGGCGGCGTGCACTAGACACCTCGCAGTCGGTCGGAACCAGTGGTGCGGTGCGGCGACCGGCAGCGGCGGGCGCCTAGACGCCGCGCGGCTGATACAGGTGCTCAGATTCAACCGTCACCAGCAGCATGCCTTCGTTGTTGGGCGCCACTTCGAACCTGCGGATAGAGGCGACAGTCGTCAGCGTGCCGCACGGCTGGCCCCGGCTCCGCTGTGGACGTGCCGACAGCAGACGGCGAGCGCAGACGACCGCCATCGGCCGGGATGGGCTCGAGTCTCTCACGCACATCGCTATGTCACTGGCTCCGATGAGGCGCTGCAATGTCCGTGACGTGCGACGGTTGGTTACTTTGGCAGATAATCCGAAGAGCATTGTTACGAGGCTACGAACGCCAGGAACACACCGACCAGAACACGGACTCACCACGCTCCGGGAGCTCGGGACAGAGAAAAGCAAACCGGCACCCGAGGTTGCCCAGCCCCCTCCTACCCGCGTCTCGCTTGTCCCACGGTCCGCGCCAAAATCGCACCGCGGCCACCCGCGGCCCAGCAGAAACCAGCCGCAGGGCAAAGTTCCAGCGCCGAAGCGCGCCGCGGCCGAGCTTACCTGACGCCCTTGTTGGTGAGCCAGTTAATGACGGCAGGTTTGATCTTTGCCTTGCCGTTGCGGCTGTGTTTCCCTTTTCCGGTGATGACACATACGGTGCCCCGCCTGTAGCCTGCCGGTCGCCAGCGAGAGAGTAGTCAGCACTCGGCAACACTACGCATAGCTAACGTTTATGCATGCTGCTACACCAGTAGAAACGTCACGGAAACACGCCCAGTCGCTGGGCTCAATCCGTAGCACCGCTGGCCAACGATGCCCCGACGATGGCCAATCCGTATCGAAGGGGCGCGGCGCCGCTGCCAGCGCCGCTCCGCGGGGACACCGCAGATGCCCTCCGACGCCGCTGTCGCTGCCGGCCACTTACCTTTCAGGCCGAAGTGGCGCTGCCGGTCGGCGATGAAGCTGGCCAGGACGGTTAGCGCCTGATCCACGACCAGCTCGTGCAGGTCGAGCTGATCGGGGTTGTCCCCGTGGCGCAGGTCCACCGAGGTGAGTGCCGCACGGACGCGGCACTCCTCCAGAAGGCCGGCTACGCGGTCACGCTGTCGGACACGGGCAGCCGAGCTCAGTCACGGGTCGGCCGAGGTCAGAGGCAAGGGCGCACCGAGCTATGTCGCGTCCGAACACACCCTCGCCGCGGTGAGCGTCCACCACAGAGAGCGTCGCCCCATACGCTAATAACACCCTTTTCCGTGAAACATGGCACGAGCAAGCGTCACATATTTGGTCCCCACAATACGCTGAGGACAGGCAAAGGAAAAACGGGCGAGCTGTTCTGATTAAGTGATACGTCTAGAAGGCTAGCCTCAAACACTGGCGCGTCGATCGCCAAGAAACATGAAATGATCAATTAATTACAGGTGGGTTACCGCACAAGCTAACTTTTGGCGTTTTCATCGCACGCCGCCCAAATAAGCCCAGCCACGGCAGGGGCGTACTGAACCGCCCTGCTCACGCTGAGCAGGGCGGCAGCAGGAGCACCTCCGCCACACGAGCGCTGGCCCTCCCCAGGCCATCTCGGCGGCGTCTGACGCCCAGGCAGGCGTCAACGGCCGGTACCCACCTCCTCGACGTAGTACTGGCTGACACCAGCCATACCACGGCGCACGGCCCGCTCCGCCATCTGCTCGGCGTGGCGCATCTGGCGCCGGAAGACCTCGGCCTCGGCCTGCAGGTCTTGGAAGGTCGGCAGGCCGCCCTCCGGCGCCAGGAAGCCGCCGCCGGCGTCGCGTGCCTCCCAGCCGGGCTCCGCGCCCGCCGCCAGCGCCGCCTGAGCGGCACGGAGAGGGGGTCGGTCAGGCTCGGCGCGCCGGCTGACGCAGGGAACGGTGACTGGTGTGCTCGGACCCCACTCAATGGTCCTGGCGTACTGCAGGTCAGCGACGACAGTGTCCCGCTAGCCCAGTGCAGCGGAACACAGTTCACAAACCATGACACGCTAACGGGAGACCGGCAAACATGTCACGACACACACGACGCGCGCGACAGAAACCGTCGGCATAAAACACGCAATCAGCCTGAAGCGGGCAGCTGACCCTCCTCAGCATCAGCCGCCCAAAAGCCCGTCCGCACACTCACCGGCGGCGGCAGCGGCGGCCGGAGGGCGGCCGTCGGCAGCGGCTTCTCGCCGCGCGTGCCCTCCAGCACCTGCAGCACCTGACGGTAGTTGCCGTCGTGCATTTCTAGCACGTCGTCCAGGTAGCGCGGGTCGACGCCCGGAAACTCGTCGCGCAGCCGCTGCCGCGTCAGCCGCTCGGCCTGCGACGAGCGGCTGGCGCCGGACGTCTGCCGGCGGGGAGCGGCGGTCAGAGGCGCGCCTGAAGCGGAGCGCGCGACGCCGGACAGGCAGAGAGGGCAGTGTTTGGCGCGTAAAGCATCGCTACAGTCCATCCAACTAGAGTACTCCATGGGGTCCCGCGGAGCGAGTGATTTCAACAGAAGCCTGTGGGGGCAAGCTGGCGCGATGCTACCCTAAATGTTGTAACGGACGGATGCATATGTGTTCCTGATTATGACGAGGTGGCGGCCGCAATCACAACGAAAATACACACGAAAAGAAATCCGCTCGAAAACGTGAGCGGTATTCGGCGCAGGACGCTCCGCATCTCGGGCAAACGTCAGTCCCTCATTTTCCCCACCATTCACAAATCTCAAGAAATGGCCCTTTCGAAGCCCAGCCTGGGCGCGGGGGCGACGCCTCGCACCTGTTCGCTGCGCTGGAACGCCTCCTCCATGTCCATGATCTCGCGCAGCTGCGGGGTGGGGCTGGCAAGGGGAGCGGGCGGCGCCCGGCCCGCATGCCGGCCGTCCTCCTCCAGCTGCAGCTGGCGGGCCATCTCCTCGTCTGAAGAAGACAGCACACTGGCGTCAATCTCCCGCCGCGGGCGGAGCCAGCATTACAGGCCACACGGCACCGAACATGACGGCACCAACGGCGGACCAGGCTTCTGATCTGAGCGACTTCACCATGCGTTTTCTACTCATTAGCATCGCAATTGTCCACACCAGTGGCAGCGCGGCGTGTATTCGAACTTACTTTTCATTCGTGAGACACGTGCACCACCAGTGGTAGGGATGGGAGGGGGGGGGGGGGGGGCTGCAGTCACGCACAATCCGATCGTTTTGAACGATCACTCGGTCCTGACCCCTTGCCACCCGCTACCACCACCCTCCTGGCAAACGCAGCGACCGCCGCCAGACAACCGCACACAGCGGGCACGCCGCCCCTGGCGCTGCTCACCTCTTCGCAGCATAGCCTGACGCTCCTCTTCCTCGCGGCGCGCGCGCCGCTCCTCGCAGCGCGCCATCTCGGCCACCTGGCAGCGCAGGTGCTCGAAGCTCCGCTGGTCGGCGTCGAAGGCGCGGCCGGCGCCGGCCAGCCAGGCGCCGTGCAGCCGGCGCGCCAGGTCCAGCGGCAGCGGGATCGTGCGTTCGGCGTCCGGCAGCTCGGCCAGCTGCGACACTGGCGACGCGGCACGCAGCGGTTAGCGCGGGGCGACTCGGCCGGGGCGGCGGTTAGCGCGGGGCGACTCGGCCGGGGCGGGCGGTTAGCGCGGGGCGACTCGGCCGGGGCGGCGGTTAGCGCGGGGCGACTCGGCCGGGGCGGCGGTTAGCGCGGGGCGACTCGGCCGGGGCGGCGGTTAGCGCGGGGCGACTCGGCCGGGGCGGCGGTTAGCGCGGGGCGACTCGGCCGGGGCGGCGGTTAGCGCGGGGCGACTCGGCCGGGGCGGCGGTTAGCGCGGGGCGACTCGGCCGGGGCGGCGGTTAGCGCGGGGGCGACTCGGCCGGGGCGGCGGTTAGCGCGGGGCGACTCGGCAGGGGCGGGCAGTCAGCGCGGGGCGACTCGGCCGGGGCGGCGGTTAGCGCGGGGCGACTCGGCAGGGGCGGGCAGTCAGCGCGGGGCGACTCGGCAGGGGCGGGCGGCCATCGGCCACCGGTCGCAGGGCTCACTGGCCAGCCGGTAACGGGGGAGAGCCGCCGACCGGCACATCAGCCGTCACACCACCGCACATGGACACAGCGGAGCGAGCCACACCGGGCAAAAAGCGGATGTCTCGGGGACGTGGCGTACCAGCCGGGACCGTGGCTGCCTCTCAGACACAAACGCCTCATCCGCGCGGCAGACAACGCCACCTGGATCCCCGCGCATGTGACTCAGCAGCGCCACGTCATGTCGCCCGCCGTGCGTGGTCACCACGCACTTCAGGGGATATGCCCACCCGGCTGTCACGCCTGACTCCGGCCAAGCCTGAAGTGCGAGCGCATCAGCACCGACGCCAGGGCAGAGAACCAACGCGGCCCTGCGCTCTCCCCGAGCGTCCGACACCGCCAGCCCGCCACTCACCGGTGCGCGGACCGAAGATCGTCGGTCCGAACAGCTTCTGCAGCTGGAAGGCGAACTCTGCCGGCAGCGTCAGGCTCAGCTCGTCGCCCGACGGCAGCGACGGCGTCGACGAGCCGGACGAGCTGTCCTCGGCGGCGGCGGCGGCGGCGGCGGCGGCGACGGGCAGCGTCAGCGGCACGCCCGGCCAGCGGGCGGCCGACGCCGCCTCGGCCGGCGGAAGACCGAACGCGGTGGGCGGCGACGCCGAGCTCTGCGGCACGCAGGGCGCAAGATGGGGTCATCACCACTGACGGGTCACGGAGGCAACATGCACCGCTTCACAGCTTCTGTTCCGTGCTGGCGCTCTGCTCAGCAGAGCTGTGGATCAAAATGAGGGAAAAGACACCGTACTTGACAGACCTTAACACACACGTGGGATTTCGGCACGTAAAGCGATAATTTGCAGCAGTCTGTGGACATAACATGGCCTGTTGTCTGCTTTTCTATCTCCACTTGAGAACACTTCATTCGCCAATGCACATTCTTGATCACAGCTACATGTAGCTACAGTCGCGCGGTCACCAATTAATGCGGCCAAATGAACCCCGCACATGCTCGTGGCTACTTGTTGATGCAACTCGCACATTTCGTCATTCCCACCGTCACAACAGCGCCATGAGGCCGACTGCAATGCCAGTCTGCACGGATGGCTGCAAACCACGAGCGCTCTCGACACAACAGCGTCAGAAAAATTCACCAGACGTGCGCCGCATCCACCTACCGGGTCTGAGCCGCTGGCGTCACTCTCAACGATGACGTCCGCTCCGCTGTCCGAATCCTCCGCTGGCGGCTGCGGCTGCGGCTGCGGCTGCGGCTCCGGTGCGGGCACCGGCACCATGTTTGAGTCAAGCAGCAGGTTGGTGGCCCAGTTGGCGTCGCCGGCGCACTGCTGCAGCACGTGGCGCAGGTCCGCCTCGGCCGTCAACGGGAAGAGCGCGCGCAGACGCGCGAGCGCGCCAGCGTCGTCGCCGTCGGCCGGCGGTGAAGAGGTCATGGTACCGCGGTGCAGCCGCACAGAACCTGACGGCGGCGGCGCGGCAGCGGCCGGCGCCCCTGGCCCCGTCCACGGGCGCGGCTGCAGCGTGCGGCCGCCGCCCAGCGCGCCCGTCTGCGTGCCGGCGGTGGACAGCGGCGGCGGCGCGGCACCGCCGCCGGTGGCGACAGGCTCACGCGGCCGCGCGCCGCCCTGCCAGACCTGCTGTGCGGCGGCGGCGCCGGCCGCCGCCCAGCTGCCGGAAGCGGCGGCGACCAGGCTCGACAAGGCGGTCGGCTCGGCGGACAGCGCCGGAGTCGACGGGGCGCGGAGCGTGGCCGCCGTGTCCATGGGCAGAATGGCAAGTGGCCACGGCTGGGAGACGCCGCTCGTGCTGGCGGCGCCGGCGGCCGCGGCGGTCCGCTCCGGCGCTGCCAGCTCCACCACGGCGTTGGTGGGCGCGGCGGCGACGAGAGGCGGCCACGGCTTCGGTTTCACGTCGATCATCCTGGGCAGCGAGAGAGTAACCAGTCAGCCGGCGCTCGGTCCGCGACTGGAGCTCGGCTGTGCCCCGCAGCATCGGCACACGATGCCATTCCAAAGTCAGGACATTTCCGGAACCCACTGCAAGTACTACTGCAGGACAGCTTACAGGCCCAATGCTAACGAAACAAGAAACCGAAACGTCTCAGAGTTATCGCGAAACATGAACATTACAGAGTCATCATCCCCAACGGGCCGAAGCACGTGCAGTACGCAACACCAAACCACCGCTCGCTTATCTCCCGTCCCCGACCGGCAGCCGCGCGTCAGCGTAGGTCGCACCTCACCTGTACAGAGTCTCCACGGTGACCACGTCACTGTGCTGGTAGCGCGCCGTCATTCCCTCGATCGTCTCGATCGGCACGCGGTGCACGTTCTTGCGCGCGAGCACGCGCGGCTCGAAGCGCCAGCTGGTGGCCGGCTCGACGATCTCCAGATAGTAGCCGAACTGGACGGCCATCTCCGCGTACGGCTTCATCTCCCACATCTCGGTGTTGGTGTTGTCGACGAGGACGGGCGAGCGGGCGGCGCGCAGCGCGCGCCGCGCCGCCGCCTGGCACGCGTCGTGCGCGGCGCTCAGCCCCGCCGCGCGGAACCGGTAGCGGCCGTCGGCGCCGACGAAGTAATCGTCGGCGCTGACGACGATGCCGCGCGGTCCGGCCAGCTGGCGCGCCAGCGTCGACTTGCCGCTGCCGGGGAGGCCGCGGATCACCACCATGAGTGGCACGCCCGCTGCCAGCTTCTGCTGCAGCGACGAGGACTCGGTGGACAGCCGCGGCGCGGCGGCCGGCGCAGGCGGCGCCGGCCGACGCTGCGAAAGAGCGCCGGCCGTCGCCGGCGCCGCTGCCGCTGCCGCTGCCAGCGCCAGCGTCGGCGTCGGCGTCGGCGTCGGCGTCGGCGTCGGCGTCGGCGGCGGTGTTGGCGCCGGCGCCAAGGGCGGGGGCGGGGGCGGGCGGTTCGCCTCAGTCAGCATGTCGTTCATCATCTCGGACAGGGTCCTCCGGGCCGCAGCCACTGCCGGCACAGACGAGAACGCTGTGCCAGGGGGTACAGCGGCCAGGGTCATGACAGGTGGCACAGCCAAGCGCATGGTGAAAAAGCACGCCTGTCGGCCTAAAGAGGCCCTAGCTGTTCTTGCTCTTGAATAAAGTTGTTGCTAACGATTCATTCGCCTCCGCAAGCCGATATTCTAGTGCGGTGAACAGGCAAGGGTCTTCACCTAATGCAATGCAAGTTTTGTTATTAATGCAATGCGATTTCAGCGAATAGAAGTGTATGGAACACAAAAACACTTCTATATAGAACGTAAGTTTTCCGTATATCAACTCTTCCGTCCGAAGTAAAAAGGCTCCAGCGTCATGTTGGGGAAATAAGTAGTTATATTATTCGATGCAGCTTGAAAAGCTGCACCTCGTGACAGGCACAAAAATTCGAAAAAATCTGCGTTAAAAATGTGTTCTACCTGTTAACCTGTCAACGCGCCAAAACGTAAGAAGGTTTCTCGAGCACAGCATGCTTAAAGGCATCCGGCCTTTTCGCCTTCCGACGGTAGACCTGTACAAAAACTACATCATTTGCATTTTGTCTGATACGGTTCTTGCCTGAGACGTAAGTATAGCATGCACTTTTGTCACATACAATCATCGCCACTGCCATATCAAAAGCTCACAGCGGTACACTTATGCCATCTTGTCATTGTTAAAGGTTTGCTTAATAAAAGGTGCGCATAGATGGCTTGAAAATCCACTGATATACGCATATCTTGCCTTTGAAGGCGCTGATAAGCGTGTGACTGCACAGATGTCTTTTTGCAGATATACAAAGCTGGAACATGCGGCAGAACATCTCCTTCCCGCGTACAAAAGACTGGTATCTTATCAGGTGCAAATTCTTTATCTACACATTACTCATGTTATTCCGACCAAAAAACAAATCTAGCCATTAAGAGATAAATGACATCTGGTCATCCCTGACATTTGAAGCTGAATTTACAGCTGACAGCTGAACCGATATCTATCTCAAAAGTGCTGAGCTTAGGGTTTGCATGGCTCTGATTGGGGGTTGCGTGGCTCAGCTGATTCTGCAGAAAGTACCCGGTGACATCACAGCACATTTGGAACATTATTCCGCGCGCATGAAGCCACTGTCTGACACGTTCCGCCACCACCGGACTTCTACCAGCGTGGTTTACCTGTTGCTACAGCTAGTTAAGTTTTAAACTGCAGAATGCATGGACCCACATCATTCAGATCGATTGGAAGCCCTTGGGACAACCTGCTGTAATGCGGTAGAAACGTACGGCAACATACCATTCGCAGCAAAATGAACAGACGTTGCAGATATAAGCTTTTCTAACGCCCTGCAGCACATAGGCACCGATATTTGTGCAAGAAGGAGTTCAGAGAAAGCAAACACATGTGGAGAGTTTAGCACCTCAGACTAATGTAGGTGGTTGTATGCTGTTGTTGTTATTTGGGCTTAGGGGCGTGTCGACATCCGCGGTCATTTTGCACCCCAACTATTGCTGTGCAGAACTACGTCGTGTTATAACATAAAGGTCGCTATTGTATGACTTCCAAGTGTATCCAAATAGCACGAGTTACAACATGAACGGTAGCGACACGCGGAGTCCAAAGCAAGTACCCTAGGTGTACCCAAGTACCCTAGTACCCTGCCTTCAACCAGGGTTGTTTGGCATCACAAGCTGCCGTAAGGGTCAGTATATGATCGTGACGTCGATGTCGTTAAGAAATGCAAGAACTGCTTGAACGTTGGTAGTGGGGTCCTCGCCTATGAGTGCACGCAAAGACAATTTGCGCCGCATATGACGACCAAAGTGGCGATAGCGCTCCGTGGCAAAGCGTGGGCACTGCACGAGAACGTGGGCGACGGACAGCGCGTGATCGCAGCGAGGACATTCCGGAGCTCGCCCTGCTGAAGGGAGAACGCCATGTGTACTGTATCTGTGACCTATACGGATGAGGCGCAGGCTAACTTCCTCCTTTCTACCAGGTGGTTGTGTGCTGCCCAACATCATGGAAAAATCATGGTGTAACGCAGAATATACCTGCAGTATGTGTTTCGTGGCATGTCCATGCCAATCACAATTGCACAAAATGTTTGTTTTCATTAATTACTCGAGCGCCACTAAAAGCCAATTGTGCAACACTTACAGGGATGATCTTTCCTTCATATAAACATGACGTGCACAACTCACCATCTCCGGAACAGCCTTCGAATATCGCATCGATGACTTCGCCATCCAGCACGCCTCTAAACTCGTTCTTGAGAGCTTCCATTGCACCTCAATGTTCAAAACCTGAGAACAAAATGGACACACGTCACTCATGGCTCCCAGCCTTGGAAGAACTAGAATGGTTCTCACTTTTCTGAACATCAAATGTTATGGCCCTTGCCCTGGAAACCTCTCGTGTTAATTGCCCCAATGGGGCCAGTCGCAAAGTGAAATATTTGTGCAATGCTAAGAGTTCGAAAGTTGCGTGCCACGAGCGCAGGCTCGATGCCCAGCGAAACGCAGCGCTCACGCGGCCGGGACTGAGCAGACAGGGCATGACCGGACATGGCTTTTGACCAGGGCTTTTAATGGAACAATAACATTATTCATTCCAATATTCATGCCAGATAAAGCAGTAATTCAGAGCTTATGATATGCAGCGCGATTTTTGGGGCCACAATAGTATAACAGGGCACAACAGCATGTGAACAGCCCACTCCGCGCCATTCAAATGTTGATTACGCGATAGGAATGGATGCGAGCCGTAATCCCAGAACGTGAGTTAAGGTGGCCCAGGTCTTCCATGCCACAACCCTGTCGATCCAGAATATTCCAAAGCACCCGAAGCAAACCGACTCCTGATAGACCTGATATGAATATCTTTGAACAAGTTCAAAAGCATAAATGTACCTCTAGAAAAGTAAACCATTGTGCAAATAATAAGACACATTTGAAAACAGCAATTTTTTTTCTGCCTGGTTCACTTGCCTAGTGACATCTACTTTATGCTTACATGGACCATACTTTGCTCCACACCAATGGTGGGGAACCCTTTGTATGAACTAACATATTTGTGAATAATAGGTACACCCTGCCATCAAAAATTGCAGAAATAACCACTCAAGCAAGAATAATGTTCAAATGAGCCTGATTTCAATGCCTCTGAAAATGAGCCTGGAAAAGCATTTCTAGTATGGTTCTTGCAGTCAAAACTGTGGTAAAATACAGCATCATTTGGCAGTACACAGCCAATATGATACTTACTTATACCTTACCTGAAACTATGAGTAAGCAGTGATCAAAAGCTGTGAAAACTCTCTTGAAACTTCACACAACTCAGCACAAAATGGCCACTTTGTAGAGGGCTTAAAACACACTTGACTCTCAGGACACAGTTTATTACTCAGCTGACAACATTACAAGTGGCCAATCAGGTTACTGACTTAACAAATAATGGGATATTTGAAAATTAGGCAATGCAAAACAAGTGTAATTTTTCAGCTGTAACAAAATAAATCAATGTTTTTTATCCAAAACTTAAACCTAATTTTATAAAAGTTTTATATCTTGTTTTGATTTCCTAGGCTTACATGTTCAGGGCATAACTTTTGTGACATAATATCAAAATGTCAAACCTAAGCTTCAAGCATGAATTGTTTTTTGGCAGATATTTTTGCACAGCAAAATTTGGCTCAGCATTTATTCTGATAGATCATGTGGTGACTTCTTTGAAAAGGTATGAATGTTAGAATCCAAGCATAATGTAAGTAACACTTTTCTATTTTTACTTCTCTATTTTTGTCTGATAGCTACACGCAAACAAAATAAGATATCAGTGTAGGCGTACTTCCGTACCTAACAATAGAAAACATCATTGCACACCATTCGTCGTATTTAAGGCGACACATATCATAAATAATCTCAAAACAGGTAGAATCATGCTCCTACCTTCGAATTTCAATAACTACGATGGCGAGCTCCCGAGCGCCGCGCGCACAGCACCGCCTGGACAACCCAGCGCCGTTTCTGCGTTGCCGTTGCGTAAATACAATATTTCTGCTTACCAAGAACTATACAAAATGTAAGGGACCAAGGTAAACCATTCGTCGTGATTACGGCGGAACATATCGTGAATAATCTCAAAACAGGTAGAATCATGCTCCTGCCCTCGAATTTTCATGAATACGATAGCGAGCTCCCCAGCGCCGCACGTACCGCGCCGCACCGCCTCCACTCCCAAGCACCGTTTCTGCGTAAGTACAATATTTCTGCTATCAAGAACCATAAACAATGTGTGGAACCAAGGTAACAATAATAAAGCAATCCAAATAGTTTCTTATCTTGTTTAGGTACATTTATGAAACACACAGGCCAGAATAGTCCAGAACCTATCCTAAACTAGCCTAACCTAACTTAACCTAACCTAACCTGAACTAACCTTGCCTAGCCTAACCTAACCTAACCTAACCTAACCTAACCTAACCTAACCTAACCTAACCTAACCTAACTTAACTTAACTTAACTTAACCTCACCTAACCTAACCTAACCTAACCTAACTGAGAATAGACAAGAACCTAAGCTAAGCTAAGCTAAGCTAAGCTAACCTAACCCAACCCAACCCAACCTGACCTAACCAACCTAACCTAACCTAACCCAACCCACCAACCTAACCTAACCTAACCTAACCTAACCTAACCTAACCTGACCTGACCTGACCTGACCTGACCTGACCTGACCTGACCTGACCTGACCTAACCTAACCTAACCTAACCTAACCTAACCTAACCTCCCCACCCTATATCCCCTTCAACCCAGCATCCCATTGGCATCCATGTTCCATGCCATATATAGGTGCTGTAAAGTGAGTTTTTATTTAACCACCATGTTCTCATTTTGCTTTACATTCCCCACCCAATCCCCTGCAACCCATCATCCTATTGGCATCCAGGATCAAATTTCATGGATTCTTGTTACCTTGGCCCCGTACATTTTTATGGTTCTTGATGCTGCTAGATGCACAGCAATGTTGTGACCGCGCACAAGTAATGGCGCTGGTGTCACAGCTGCTTTGTGTGTGCGGTGCTCGGTAGCTCACCATCGTAATTGTAAACAATTTGAAGCATGAATCTACCTGTTTTGTGATTATTTACAATACGTCCTGCCTTAAACACAACTAATGGTGTACAATGATTTTTTATGATGTTAGGTAGAAAAGTACACCCTGACCACGATATTAATTAAGTACTTACCAACATTGGCCTCAAAAGGGCAAACACCAAACCAATTTGTTTTTTCCTGTCTTAGCTTCACCAGAAGCTTGCAACTCTCTGGAAGAAAAAAAAATTATCACCAACTATCATCAATATGGTTAAAGCTTACCAGGAAATCTGGGATTCCCCTTCCCCTCCCCCACCCTACCCACCACATATCACCAGTCTCCACCTGAAGAAAAGAAAAAGGTGGTCCTTCATCAGGGACATGATTTAGTTTTTCTCTCAACATTTTGCTGAATGGTCTGCCACCTTTTGGAGACTGGGTAAAACATGCTCACATCTTGTGAACTACTTTGTAGCAAGTATAATTTGGACCATCCATTTGGACCAAAAAGTATAATAAAGACCAGGTTTGTAGCAAGTATAATTTGGAAACCATCCCATCTTCAGTTGAGAAGTCACTGATCCAGAACAGGCCAGAGACCAATACCAGCAAAAACCATCATTGTCAGGAACCGCGAACTACGCTGCACTGTAACCGTCACCCTAGGAACGCGATTACTTAAAAAATGGGGTTCCTTTTACCGTCTATGACATACCATCGCGGGCTATTCAGATGCCACAACAGCATGGTGCGAGTATTGGAAGATGGAAAAAAAACAGAAAATCATGGAAAATATGATAGCGAGCACCTGCGCCCACCCCTCACAACCCACCACACGGACGCTCCGTCACTGAATCCCTCCCATCCGGGGCCTTCAGAATGGCCGTGACACTCCTGGGGCTTTTCGTGACGCTGGATCCGGCGTATCGCATGCGTAAATACCCAAGGCCACTCAAGGCCGTCAAGAGGTAAAAGCCTGTTCGCAGACGGTGAAATATTTTGCTCCTGCTCATGCTTGCTTCTACTTTGAAAAATGTAAAAAATAATGATGAAATATACCAGGAGTTTTTTCCAAGTCATTTCCGTCTTCTAGTTGAAAAATACTACGCACGTAAACATACCGTAGAAATATCTTATAGTTTCTGTTAACATGTTTCAGTCTATCGCTGCGCATATGTTACGAACGCTGTCAGCGTGTTGTTTTCAGTGAGGTTTGTTAGCACCCATGAATATCAGGGTATAGTGACACGTTTATGCCTAGGCCGGCGAGTCGGTAATACCCGACAACCAGGATTAAAGGGTGAAGTTAATATGTGTGTATATTTAGGGCTGTGTCAAATAAGTTGGAACATCACTGGAATACCAAATGCGTATGTCATATGAGTAACGTAGCTTAACCTGATATACCTATCCCACTAAATGCGACTTATTAATCTATTGATCTACGATACCCACAGCTTCAACGCCAATAGGACCGTTGATGTGATACTTAGGACCATGCTCTGCATAATTAGTTTGACTGCTCAGTGATGTTACAGCTGGTTTGGAAGATGTAGAATTACTCAGAGATGTCATGAATAATTTGGAAAATGTAGACTTGAACACATATCTGTAGACCTGTGT